CTGTGGTGTTTGGACGAGGAGGGTGCAGCACTCCCCCCCCGCGTCGCCCGCGGTTATCTCCCTTCTCCCGCGAACGGTGCTTACTCGCGTGGTTTTTACGAATCTCTCTGCTCCTCCAGCTTCGTGGGCCACGTTTTCCGCGACGGTGGTTACCAGGTGCAGTTTGCCGCTTTGCATTGCTACCGCGGGGACAAGGTCCACATACACCTCTCGCCACTACCACCGTCTGTGCATCCTCACCGCCACGCTGAGCCAGCGCGGCGGTGAGTTGCACCTTGGGACACCACCCACCTACTATCTGTTGTAGCCTGGTTCGCCCGCGAGGGACTCACAAGGTCGATTTCGGCCCCGGCCGGGGAGCAGGCCGGGGAGGGGAAGTGTGATATCCTCGCTACTGCCCCCACTTCCCTGCGGCCGGTTGCTTCCCGCTCGTGTTGTATGTAACGATGTTTGGCTGACAACCCTTATAATTCCGTCAGAAGCAGTGGGTATCACCGTTTAGACAAGGCCAATTGGATGGACTGCCCGTGGTTTCGGAGAAACAACTGTGAGATCGATGTATCACCGCCCGCCGCCAACGCACATTTTCTTTGTGATCTCATGATGATCGCAGGAAATAATCTCCCATCGGATCGTGCTGGAGTCCTCTACACTCGAGATCTTGCTCAACCCAGACCACCTCCTGGACGAGCTTTATGACGTGAAGCAGGAGGTGAGAGCATCAAATATGGCCATGGTCTTGGCCTTTCCTTGGCTCGCTTAGATGGTTATGGTCCACATCGCATGTATGAGGCAAGGATAATGTACTATCTTCTTGGTGAGACGGTCTTGTGGCGGCCAGTGTTCCCTCCCAAACTTCGCTTCGTTGCAGTTCTTGTCGACGATCGGCTTAGATCAGCGTTGTTTAGAGACTCACCCCAAACTCGGCTAGATTGATGGGCATGATCTGGAGCACGTCGATGCAGAAACCTTACATTCCAATGACCACAGGTTTTCGCTGGCCTTGAGGAGACTCCCATGCGTCTCCAACTGACAACACTTGAGCCGTGGATAACTGTTGACACCGCCGTTCCTCAGCTATGGGGCGCTTACTTGCAAATGCTGTTTGGGCGCCATGTTGTGGGATTCACAACAGTTTTCAGTCTCACGTCAGCAGGACGAGGGTTGTGTACATGCTCCGGGTCTCGAGGAGTCGCTTTCTCGGAATGCCCTTGCCGGAGACTCCTGCCCATGGTGGTTATGTCATCCCAATGAGCTTCTGCAATGATACGTTTCCTTTACCCATGGAGGGCCATTGTTCATACAAGCTATTAGCACACCCTCATGGGGCTCTCCTTGAACGATGCACTAACGTTACGCGACGACTCACAAACTCCAGCTTTCGTGAATGATGTATCTTGACCGTCGTTTCTCCCTCCACCGTCGCCGCCACTACGCGATTTTGATTCTGGTATACGAACGAATCTATTACATTAATAGTTCATCGAGATCGTACGAGCGGCCCTCCAACGCGACCCGACCCCCCGCCCTTCACCAGCGGAGCTCGTCGAGTCCCTTGCCAGTATGAGAATTCGCTTGCTCGAGAAGGAACTGGGGAGCACACCCGTCTCCGCTGCTGCTACTGCCGCCGCCGCTGCCACTACAAATGCCATTGCGGTAGCACCCGCCCCCCCCCAGACGGCACCATCGCTCGCTCAAGTGTTGAGCGGTGAAAGTGGCGGCAACGGCGGCGGCCCTATTGTGAGCGGCGGCGGGGGCAGTGGTGGTGGAAATGCTATCCTTCCGATACGCGTGCAACCCGCGGGAGGGGACACTGCGGCAGAAGGCCGAACGGGTGCCGGCGGGTCTGCCGCCACGCCCTTCCCGAAAGATTCTGCAGGTGGAGTGACGGCTGCAGCGGTAGCAGCGGACGGCAGGGCATGCGTGCTGCCGTCTTCGAGCAGCGTTCCGCGTGGTTCCCCGATCGTAAGTGGACAAGTACGAGCAGGAGAGGAGAGGGTGCCCCGGGCGATTCAAGTCGGCAGTCTTGTAACCTCACAAGATGTAGCGTTCTGCAGCAGCAGCGGAGGTGGCGGTACTGCTGTAGCTCGTAGACTTTGTAGTCTACCACAGAGGTTACACTGCTGTCACCGCGGTGCTGATGTAGCTCGTAGACTTTGTGGTCTATCACAGAGGCTACACTGCTGTGAGAGCGGTAGGCCCGAGCGAGCTTCGGAAAGAGAAATGTAGATATTCTAGATGTTCTCATCAACTCACTCCCTGGTCAGGCGTTGATTTGTGCTAGATGAGAGTGAGCACAAGGGGCTAAGGCGCGCTTGAGTCTCAGCTTAACGACAAAACAAAAAACAAGTAGCAAACACAGCAGGTTCTGAGGGTGTCCGGGGTATTGGCCCATGTACCGGAATTTCGGGGTTCGGAAAAATAAAACAACTACACTCTCGCCTGCCAAATTACCTCCGCTACATCTCTGTGCTCATGTTCTCTGCTAAGTACCATATCTTTTTTCTGTATTTTGTCTACGGAAGGCTAGTTGCCGCAGTCGCTCGTATGGTAAACTGTGCCTGACTACGTTGTAACAGTTTTCCTCGACATCCAAAAGTCAGAGGAGAAAAAGGTGCACCCAAGGAGATCCGAATCAGTATCCTGCTGACGCCACGTGCGAAGGTGTACCGATTTTCTGGTAAAAGTCAATCGACGGATACCCCGCGAATCGGGTCCTCTTTAACATAGCTGTAGGTCGATTATATAGCCAACCTGCGATATTCTGATGATGGATTCGTCACCCCCAAATTGACGGTTTTGAAGAGCGTAATTGTAACGCCGCTAGAGTACGCCGGAGAAGTATGGGAAGGAAATAAGAAGGTAGTGAAAGAACTCGAGGCGGCGCAGAAGAAAGCAGCGAAAATCATCCTAGGATGCTCCAAGCGCACAAGTACTGCAGCCGTCAGGGCAGAATTGGGGATCCAATCCCTACGGTCGGGAAGAGACGCCGGGAAGCTGACATTACAGTATCGCATGTGCGGGATGGGAGAGGAGAGGTTGCCGAGAATTGTATGGGAGGCGAAGTGGGCAAACAAAAAGNTACCGGGGACATAGATAGGCCTTCGGGAACGTCGACGAAGACATAGGACGGTAGACGAAGAAGACGACGAGTTCAAATGTGATTGCGGCTTCGAATGCGAAGACCGTGTTCGTTCATGTAGTCGCGGAATGTCCGTTGTACAAGAAGGAGTGGGAAGTGTACGTGACTGAGCTGGGAAAAATCGATAGGCCGTACAAGGAGATGTTTGAGGCATGGAATAGAGAGGAAAGGACGGTCGTTGCACTGGGGCATAGGAGGTGGGTTGAAAAGGCGGGAAGGGATATCGTTAGGATAGACAGACTAGGGAAGACATTTTTGAGCCACGTCTGGCAAATTAGAAAGGAACGATTGACCATTTGGTGATCGGTCCTGTGGGAACAATGTTCCGTCCTCTCGAGGACGCGTGGTCAATGGTCTAACCGCTAAGGCATGCAAAACATAAGAGTACGCCCCCCCCACCCCAACATTACCCTGAGATGAAGCTCACAGAGGTTCAATCAACCCACGGAACGTCTTCCGGGGGAGAGGATGTTTTCCGGCCATCCCCGCTTTCTTGCGAATCTTGGACAACTGTATCACGACGGCATCGATCAGTTCGAAAATTTTGACAACGGATTTGTGATCCCCACCCCAGTTTCACTCGGAAATGAAGTTTTTAGCCCGATCGAAGCCTCGTGAGTGGGGGGGGATTTTTGGGCCCATCCCCTCTTTCGGGGGTTCCGAAATTTCCCCTAGCGAGCCGGGATAAAGCAATGAAACCCGGGCACGAAAGATCTCGTTTGCTCTACAATGTCGCAACCGGTGTTCTTGGGGGGGGACTGACACACGTTTATAGTATTGGAGGTTCCAAGTGGGTCCTTCACGTCCCCCCCTGCCCCCCCCAAATATTCGGCTTTACTGCGGAACCCGCCTGCTGCTGATTACACTTGCTCCTTCAACTGGGTAAATTTGTCTGTCTGTGTCTCTATGTGTGCCTCTCTACAGTGCCTTCACGTCTGTCTGTCTCCGCATGAAAATGAATGACTGCTGTGTCGTGCTTCATCAATCATGTTCACAACAACATTGATGGCGACGACATGACACCAAAGGATGATCTCAACACAACGGGTCAACTACGGACCACAAAAAACACATCAGAAAACTTTGTCCGCTTGATCTGACTCCTGTTTGGTTTGTTCCCAAAACCACACAAAAAAAATGATATCACAGACAACCTTCCTCGTGTGGTGGTACATCACTGACACAACCTATATAACATATATAAGGAATGGTTCTTCGACGGGCTTATTTTTTCGTCGGAAACGGTATGTTTGTGACTCTTTAGGTCTAACCAGACGTTGAACCTGTAGGTTCCATACATGGGATGTGTCACACACCGTGGCCAACCCAACCCAACCCAACCCAAAACCCTAATCCTCACCCTCACCCACGACCAACGCACGGCCTAGCGGCCGCGAACTGGGCCAAAACGCGGTTGCGCCACGTTGTGAGAATGCCGAAATGGGAAGAGGGCGCTGGAGAGGAATGAATCGCCCAATCCAACGATTGAGCAATCAGAGGGCGTAAAAGCCCTAGATGTGGGAAAAGTCACTACCATTCCGTAATTGTACTTGGTTGTAAGTTTGTGGTACCTTGGGTACACGTTGGATATCTGTCCGATCTATGCATAGAGTAAACCAGGGTATTAACGAACACCCCCCCTTTAACGAACACTTTTTTCAAATGCACGTCCCTCGGCGCACAATGCGCGGAGCCCCCCAATTTTTTTTTGAAATCTTCAGCTTTCCGTTAGCTTTCGTTTGAGCACCTCCGCGTGTCGATCGGGTCAAGCACTCCCGAGATACAGCACAGCCCTCACCCACACCCCTTATGTGGGGCATCTTTGCCCTTTTCGGGGTCCTGCTGCTAAGCATGGGACGTAAGAGAGTAGACCCAGAGCAGGCCCAGAAGGCTGTAGATGCGGTACGCAGCGGTGAGATGTCGCTCCGCGTTGCTGCGAGGACCTACGGGTTACCGCTAGCCTCGCTGCACGACCGTGTGAAGAACAAGGTGGCCATAGATGCGAGGGTTGGTCCCGGGACTGTCCTGAGCAAGGAGGAGGAAGATTTCGTAGAAGACGTCTTGATCTACGCCTCCCGACACTTCTTGCTGTTGGGTCGGAGGGAGCTGAGAGACGCTGTGCGCAACATCTGCACCGACGGGCGCAAGGTGCCCTGGGACCCAGACAAGGGCCCTGGGGACAGCTGGCTTGAGGGGTTTATGGCGAGACACCCGGGTTTGTCGGAGCGAGCCACCCACATCTACGAAGCAAACCGGATTAACGAAGACGGCGAGCCTCGCCTTCAAGCTTTCTACAAAGCATGGGCGGAGTACCTGGAGGAGACCAAGCTCCCGCCGGAACGCATCCTCAACACGGATGAGACAAGTGAGTTAGGGCAAGGGTTGAGGTGTCAGTAGGTGTCATTGGGTGTCAGCGGTGTCAGTATCGACTGCTGTGGGTTCGTAGGCGAAGTACCAGCAGCACTGCGATGTGTCACAACAACGCGGAGTTCTGCTGCTGCAAAAAAAAAAGATCCAGCAGTTGTCCCGCATATCTTCCGAGCCGTTGCTGCTTGTCATGCGCGTAGCACACAAGACGCCCGCATGTTTGCTGCTGGAGTCGGCTGAGGTTAGCATGTAACAGTCCCTGTGGTCATCTCAGTTGCACTCTGCCGCATGATTGCATGTGTACATCGTTTTCTGTTGTGATGCTACCGGCAACAGCGGGCGTGTGTTCTTGGTCTGCAAAATGCATGTGTGTTGCTGAACGACGCGCGAAGTGCAGACTAGTCTAGTCACGTCGAGACTTCAGTAGAACGCTTTGTTTTTGTAAACCCACCTACGTTTGGAGCTCAATGCAAACTGCCATGGGTGTGGGGTTATTGTTTCGCACCCAAAGTTTAAACGAATCCGACACTTGCCGCACAAAAAATGGCCTTCACCACTGCTGTGTGCCACCACCCGGAGCGAGCAGCACCCATGTGTGTTTGTACGCGCGTTTTTTGTGTGTCTAGTTTACTGATTGTTCAACTGTCTTTACCCCCGATGCGCGCGTGTTGTAGGTTCGACCCCTCAAGGTACAAAGTCGGGGAAGGCAATCGTCGCAAGAGGCACCAAGGTACCCGGCGCGAGGCGTTCCAATTCGCGAGAAAATACGACGGTGGTCGCCACCATCGGTGCCGACGGCCACACGTTCCACCCTACCATCATCTTCAAAGGCCAGCGTATGCAACCCGCTTGGATCCAGGACAACAACGGCGTCCCCGATGCGAAGTACACCGTCACGGAGTCATCCTTCATCCAGAGCCACGTCTTCCTGGACTACCTTCGAGACCTCCGCAAGCAGCTCGATGCGCGCGGCTTGCTGGGCAAAGCTGCCCTTGTGCTCGACGGCCACGCCTCACACACGACCTTCGACGCCATCAGCTTGGGCATCTCCCTGGACATGGACCTATTCCAGCTTCCATCCCACACATCGCACATCACCCAGCCCTTGGACGTCGGTACGTTCGGAACCTTCAAGATGGAGATCACCAAGGTGCTCACGGCCTACCCGCTAAAGAACGGGGGGAGGAGTCCGGTGAAGCGCGACATGGCTGGCGTGATTGCGGAGGCATGGGCAGGGAGCTTCACGCCTGAGAACAACAAGGCGGCGTTCAAAGGGTCGGGCTTGTGGCCGGTGAGCATGGAGAAAGCTATCAACAGACTACACAGCAAGAGGAAGCAACGGGACCATGACCGCCCTATTCGTGAAGACCTCGCCGTGG